CGGTGCACATTCTCCGGAGTATCAAAGTCGAAATTCTGGTGTCTTAGTGGATAATCTTCCTCAGTTACCTGTTGAAACGTCCACTCCAACGGGACAATTGTCCTCCTCTTCCTTTCACTCTGCTACTTCATCCTCATCTGCTGGTCTCTCCGTGACGCACCCATCCACATCCATAACCTGGGGGCAGAATGCCACTTCGATCTCCCCACCCTATCTTGCCACGGAGCTGGATGCCGCATCTCTGAATGCATTTTGTTATCTCATTCCTGGGTCCGATTCCTCTGTGCCCGACGGAAGCTCCGGACCCGGAAAGCATTCATCCGCCAACCCTTGAAATGTGCTTCTGCATTTATCGGGTATTGCATTTTGTGTGCCTGTATGCACCAGTTCAGTCTTTCAGCATCGCTACTGGTCGGTGCGTTGGGTCTGCTGATCCCTCCAGTTACTTTGATCCCACTCGCTCTTAGCGCCCCATTTGCGTGCATTTCGTGGCTGCTTTTGACGGTTTATGCGGTGTTTGAGGCTCCAACATAAGTCAAGAAACGTTGGTGGTAGTTTTCCATTTTCTCCCCACTAATCTTGCCCGGGGAACTGGCAAAGCTGCCAATAAACTCTACTTCTTTCTGAATGCCTTACTCTCGTGTGTGAATTCTCCGCATTTACGTAAAGTCGTGCTCCTGTATCGTACTAATTTTCAATAGTGATTTATATATCTGCTTTTCATATAATTTCCCCCATCGTGTGGCAACATTGTTTCTATTAATAAACTTTTGGTACTTCATTTTGCTCCTACTTAAGGAAGCCTGAACGGGTAGGTTGGTTTCATCGCTCATTTTCCGTAGTTTTACATTGGTGGTGGTAATGCTTGCTAAACGAGTGGATTCAACATTACTGAGCTCCACGAAAGCCGTCGAAATAGCTCTTGTGCGCACGTCATCGCGTTATCCAGCATAAAAGGACTCTTTGTGATCCACCACGGTTTCTGCGTTGGTGCCTGTTGTGATCGGTGAGAGTCGTCCGATTAATTTGGATCAAAGTCCACTGGATTTCGTGTCCAAGTAATTCGTAAGCGTGTCTTCCTGACTGACATTCGGTATACCTCAAATAACTTGACTGCACCCACATGCAATAGCATAATAGTTCTTTTGCATGCACCGTGTACTGAACTGTTTATTTGTTTGTGATAACGATTGTGAAATTAGATTTTGTTAAAGGAACCTTGCAGATATCGTTCCGACAGGTGAAACCCGTTTCCATTTAGGGTCCAGTGGTTCTAGTGTGAGGGCTGTGGTGTGAACTCGGAGGGTTTCCATTCTATTAAGTTCATGATTGAGTAACCATCAGGAAAGTCATCCGCAGTCTCCTATCTTGTGGTCGGCCAATGAAAATAGGGCGGTTTGCATGGTCGTGTGACTAGGGCAAACGTTTCGGCCCTTTGGGCGAAAGGTGTTACTATTCGTATTGGAATGCATTACGATTAAGTGCATGACAAATTGAGTCATTTTGATGCCCATTCCAGCGGCAAATATGACTGCTAGCAAGTGGTCATGTTTGATAGTTAATGGTAAGGAACGTGAGAACCGCTTACTACAACTCATAGCATAGGCCAAGCCTTAGCATATTCATTATGAGAAGATTTTCTACTCCAATCAAACAACAGTAAAAGATATTTTAAGTGGGAATTTAGGTCCTGCAATTATATCGCACCTATGTCGTAATGTTTTGATTGTCCCCAAAAAGCTCAAATCACTCAATTTAACGAGCTTAGAACAACTGCGAAATGAGGCTGATCATTTAAATGATTTTTAATCCCCTATCAAGGGGGAAGCTCAAGATTCTGGGGAACATGCAGCTGTTTCGAAGATATGCAAAACCTAATAATATAATCACCCATTGGAGCTAGTTTTCCCTGCATAAAACTTAGTTATACGCGTGCCAGATTGGTACCCATTTCTTTGAATAAACGTTTTATTTCTTGATTTTATGCTGGACAAAAATTTTAAAAGATATCAACGAAGACTTCACTAAGGACCATTACTGAACGATTACATGCCAAAATGCCTCCGATCACTATGCCATCTCTTTTAAGGAGGACAATATTCTTCCTACTGCACTCAAGCCTTACAAAAATTCGAAAACTCGTGCTTAAGAGGAAGAAAAATCGTATGCTTTCAACCTGTATGGCTTTTGAGACGCTTTGTGCGTAGCTTGTTTTCATTTTTATCTGGGAAGTGGGAGAAGGTGAAGCCCATTTACGGTCCTAGTGTTTATTTGTGTGCTATGGCTCAGATGTAACTTGAAACGCGTTTGCATCACCTAGAGTGAGAATGCCATACAGCATCTGGGGAAGCGTGGAGATGACTCGAGGGACGTGGCGGTGTGTAGTGTCTCATTAATGCTTTCTATGCCACTTCGCCCTAGCCAGCACTTTATGAAAGACAAGCCGTCTGGATTTTCTAGTTATGGCATTGCATATCGTACAATAAGGTTTGGAGAACGAGAACCGCCCACAGTGGTACTGTAGATCACTGCCACTGGAATTAGAAACCAAACGGTCATAATATCTTGTCGGTAAACTTTAGGCAGCAATGGAGCAACTTTTACTCTTGCTGCATGTATAAGTGACTAAGCATTTTCACTGAATTTAGGGTTCCCAAGTCACATCACGAAGGGAATCATTATTCATCGGCCAACATGACTTATGGACTAAGATAGGTAGAGTTGAAATGGCTTTCATTTTGGTTATATTCAAGATTTTTCATGCAAAAAGATATCAGGAAGACTACCAAGTTTTTGCACTAAAACACTTCATTACTACTCACAGCGCAAATCCATCAGTTTCTCATGTTAGTGATTCGACGCCCGCATGACTCCAAGGATTGGGCATGTAACACAGTGAAAAATAAAATTCATTTGTCAAATAACCGCACCTATTGTCGAAAGCTCGACAGCAAAACTCTGTCCTGCCAAATTCGAAGTCAGAGGATCTATTCCCCACTTCACAACAGTCAATCGACAAAATATGGCAGGACGGAATGACTGACATTGAGAGCAAGTCCCCCGACCACCACCTCTAAAGGCAAGTTCATCCACTTACAAAGGAAAATTCGCTTATGATGCGGCAGTCAGTGTGGCCTTAACGCTAAATGTGAGAGCTATTCTGATGTCACCTGCCTCCGAAGCACGAATGCAGAAGCTTAAGACTTGACCTGGTGACGTTTGCACCTCAGAGCTTTGGTTGAAGCTGCCGGTTGGGTGTCGCTTGCACCAACCATCCAAAGTCGAGGTAGGCAGATGTCATATCACTGCGACTACTCTTGCGAAAATGATGAGGTCATGACTTGATCACATGACCAGGGTTAGGGGTAATGGCGACCACCTGTAGTTAAGTCGTTTAAATAAACGAGCACCACCTCCGAATTGAAATGGTTGGAGAAAGATGATGGCCGTACTCTCGTGAGCGTGGTAAAAGTAATTCAATCAATCATATGGGCAGTAAATATCCCCTTGATTGAGTCTTAATGATTGCCAACATCAGCAACACAATGCCAAAAAAGGATTTATTAGATTTGGACTGTAGATTTAGAATTGTGGTCCTAATTTTTTCGAATCAGCTCCTCTCCGCACGGTCGTTGCGTCACTGAAATGAGGGTTGCCCTACCAACCTGTCTATTATTCTGATGAAGTCAACTAGATCAACATTTATCATAGCTGATATGCTAAGGAAATTCAACAGCTGAAAGCTTAATTACATACTCATGGCACCAGGTATGTATTCCAATGTATTCCATTTTCAAAATCTATCCCTTACTGCAAAATTAGCCAGCTTTTTGCTCCGCTTCCAAAGTCACCAATTCCTAACCAGCCGCCAT